ACCAAACCCATGAGCCGGGCACGGGCGATGCAGAGGAAGATCAGCAACGGGAGCGGGGTCCTGGGCATGGCTGTTGTGAGACGCTCAGGCACCGGGCAGGGAGCTGGAAGGATATTTCCATCCCTGGGATGAACCAACTTTTAGGAGAATTTACCTGGGATTCATCCGAATTCTCCATCACACGGATTCAAGTGTTCTGCCAACAACTCCCTCTGGCTAAAACAGATGTCAAGATGGTGCTCCAGGACCCACCGGCCCTTTCAGACACAAAGTTCAAGGACCCTCCTGACCCTGGGGATGACTAGAGAATGATTTGGGGCACGTTGCGTCCTTTCTGAGCCCAGGCAAGAGTCACACTCAATGGAGGTCACTCCTGACAGCTGGAAACATCAGAAGGACACGACCACATGATAGAAAAAGGATAAAAGATAAACGATGGCACAGGGATTAATGTCAACAGGAAACTAATGCCTGACACACGCTGAGTCAGGAGAGCCAGCGGAGTTATTTGTTATGAAGAGCTGATTGCGGAGGAAGAGGCTGGGAAACAAACCTCCCAGCCTTAGGCTTCAAGAGCTTAATTGACCCCGATTCCTGGAAAGAAGGTGAAGAGGGGACAGAGAAGAGCCCTGCAGCGGGGTTTGTCCTGCAGGACAAGCCTAGCAGGCTCCAGCACACCACGGCTGATGTTAGGCACATGCAGAATGGAAATGAGATGTGATTTTGTAGCTGTAGGGCAATAAAACCTTGGCTTGACTTACAAAGGGAGGAGGTAGCTCGCTCTGGCTCCGTGTCTCTTACCTGAGCGTAGCTATCTCTTACAAGCTAGGATTTCTTCCAGCTGCAGGGATGTATTTTATAACCTTTGGGCATGAAGGACCAAGCTGGATGGCTGTGACAGTCTCGAATCTTAGTCCCTGGCTTCATCCCATGTGTCTTTGGCCATCAGGAGGAGAGATCTGGCCACACGGCCCTCCTAAGGTCGATGGCTCTCGTTTTAGGTAAGGACACCCATCGTGGCATCAGTGCTCCTTGCCCAGAGCACCCAGCTGCATTTCCACATCAGGTTGCCTGAACTTTCCTTGGAGTAACTAGGACAAACGTCCCATCCTGAAGACGCGAGGACTTGAGTCTACCCTCAAACTCTGTGAAGATATGCAGTATTGCCTTCTGTGTTCAACCCTGGGCCCCACATACCCCTCCAGCTCTGATACCTGCTGTCACCTCCGTTCTCCCCCACAGCCGGTGGGAAAACCCAAAGACACCACACCAGCTACGAACCTGCCCAGAAAAGGGTGCCGAGGCTCCGTTACGGACAGGCCCGAAGATGAGACAAACTCCTGGGAATTCTTCTGACCTCATTCATCAGAAGCAAACGTTACATCCAGCTGAGATGATGAGCCTGGAGGAAGGCTACGCATGAGCAAAGCAGTGGGACTGCATCGCTGGAGTTGTGTCCTAAGGGACATAAGCAAATATTCTCTTACTGCTGGGCAGTGAGGTAGGGAGGTGCTGAATAATCTTTGCAAGATCACAAGAGGGAATTACTACAATCTAGAAAGAGTAAACCTCCACATCTCAAGTGCTTCTTCAAGACCTTAATCCCAAATATTATCCATCCTTTCACTACAGGGATGCTGAATAACTCCGTATGCCAGGTGATTGCACATTTGTACAATACGTATCTGTGACAGATTCATTACTCTGCATATACATTCAGAAAAATAAAAAAGCCAAGTCACGTGGACATTTCCAAAATGACAAAACCAGGGAAGAACGAATGTGGCCAGGAATAAACAAGGAAGCAGAGTTACCCAGCACATTTCCTTTGTCAGGACCGCGACCTTCTCTCTGCTGGGAAATGGTCATTTGTGAAAAGCGAACCTTGGCTATGTCCGAAAGACGCTTATAGGTGGAAGGGGATGGAGAGACACATGGTGAAAACCACCACCAGGTGGTTACGTGGTGCCGGAGATGCGGGAGCAGGCAATAAGTGGTTTGTGCTGCCCAAGTTTATTTCTAGCAGTGCATTTTTTCAAAGGGACTCAAGTAATGCTCCAAGTCCCCCGTCGCTTAAGGGAAGTCTGTAAAGAGCTCAGAGTAAAACTCAGGGAGAAGTAAAGAGCTTGCAAACCCTGTGTGAAGAGGAGCGGTACCAGTGGCAGTGGGTTGTGAAGGAGCACAGGGGCAGGGAGGTGTTAGAGACACAAAAAGTGCCCAGGGAAAAAAACAGGCATCTGCATTTCTCCTTTTTTGGGTTTTCTTTTTAAACTTCGGCCTCGTCAAGGAAGAAGCTGCAGATGGGGAATATCAAGACCCGGGTGAACCAGCGGGGTGAGGGGGGCCGAGCAGGGGCTGCCCGCCACCAGGTCAGAGCACATTGCGCTCGTCCAGGCTGGAGCATTTGAGGAAACGGAGCTTCTGTTTACACAGAGGTTTGGGGAATTTCTCTGCCTCTGTATATGGAGACGGGCCGGGCGCTCAGTCGTGCTGCTTTTCCTGCTCCAGTCACCCAGCCGAGGCACCCAAATGCACAGGGCAGATTTCTGTGGCCGGTCACCCTGGAAAGAGCCAGTCTGACCGGCTTGCCCGCAGCCCCGGAGCAGCCAGGCAGGAAAGCCAGCTGGTTTCAACAACTGCACGTAACAGTTTAAAAACCAAAAAAAGATCATGAATAAAAAAAGGGCAAAACGAGTCGAATAAACCCGCGACAGGGAAGGAGCAGCTCAGCTTCGTCGCTGATTTCCCAAAGATGCCCGTTGAGTCGTTTCATCGGAAAAGCATCCTGGTTTCCACGGAGCAGAGGCAGAAGGAGCGGGGGGCCGGGAGCTGCACTGCCGGCAGATCTGGTAGGTATCATCCCTGTCCCGATGGAAGCGGTTGTGCGTTTCGGTACCTTATTTGGCTATTGCTGCTTGTACGGAGCGAGGACTTCTTGCAAACAGTGGGAAGAGCCCCGGGGATGCTTGGCTGCCTCTGACGCAAGAGCCTCACTGGTGCATTTTTGACCTTGCTTTGCGTCTCGGCCGAGCATTGGAGATCACGCTGCCCGCCTCTCCGCACACCCACCGCCGAGCAGCGGCGCTGGGAGGAAAGGAGAGCCCCGGGGACGGCAGTGCCCGGCCCCGGACGGGACGGAGAGGGCAGAGAGAGCAGCTTTCCCCATCCTCAGGGAAAGAGAAACTCCGCAAATGGTTGTAAGAGCACAAGGAACTAGCAGCCTCTACCCCACGGCGTGCAATCAGCTGTACTAAAAGGTTACTAGCTTCGGCAGAGCCGTACTGAATTGCATCAGCTGGGAACCTCGTCCAAACCATTCAGGTTGAGAGTAACCCTTTCTATTTATTGCCCTATTGTTTTACACTGGAAGAACACCGAGATACAATCTGTGAAAGCTTTATTGTCACAGACCAGCTTTCCCCTGCCCTCTCAAGCCGTCACCCTGTAAATTACGCTCCAGCTTCCAAGTTTGGGGGGATGAAGTGGGAGTTACACTGACAGGGATTAAGGCCCCGGGAGGATTTGGTGGGGGAGGTTACCTGCTGCCCGTCCTCCCACCGTTCAGGGCAGCGTTACCCAATTTCCCTCTGGCAGCATCAAACCACGTTAGCCCAAATCCCCCGCGCTGTTTATATGTAAAACCTGGCTTACTCTGCCCAGAGCAACTTTGGGAAAGCTTTTATTAATGCATATGGGAAAACAGAGGAACAGCCCTTTATCTCCATTATAACAGCAAAAGTGAAAAGGTGGCAAGACTTTATCGTCCCCATTAAGAGGTTTTTGTTGCCTTCACGACGGCAAAGCTCCCGCTGCCCTTCGCGGGAACGGTGCTCGTGGAGAAGGCTCTGGGCTGGCAGAGCCATCCCCGAGGCTGCCGGGCAGGGCACGGCTTTGTCAGGATGTGGCTTCCCATCACCCGGCGCGGCGCGGGACACATCCTGCCCACTGCCACCGACCACCGCGCTGGACCTCAAAACGCAGCTCCTTCCGTGGGACCGTTTTTCAGGAAGCCCGGTTGCCTTGGCGGGATGTATGTATCATTGGGTGGAGAGCTACAGGAAGCGGATAGTATTTTTTTTTTTCCTCTTTCTCCATTTGTGCCGCTTCAGACTCTTATTTAAAGACAGTTCTATTTCCCAGATTCACAGATGATAAGGATGGAAGGAACCAGCACATCGCCCAGCCTCAGCGTGGCCACGGCGCGGGCCACGGACTGCAATGCAAAGGTAAGGGGTTCGCCTAACGAGAAATATTTTGCTTATGGATTAGGGGCTTTTAAATAGCCAGCGTTAAAAAAACCCCTAAAGGCAGCGGAGCGGGCAAGGCTGCCGCGGAAAGGCGCTCAAAGCACCCACGCGTGTTCGGGACACGGCGTTTCCACCGGCCCTAGAGGACGCTCTCCGGGCCGGCTCAGGAGTTCCCTTCACCGCACGCCCCGCGACCGCCGACCACCGCGCCGGGGCGGGCCGCGG